TTTGGGGTGTTTGTGGGGTGTATGGGGGTATCTGGGGCCGCTATGGGGGTGTTGGCGGGGTCATGAGGGGTTCTGGACCCTTTTTTTTTCTTCTTTTTTTTTTTGCGGGGTGCCGCCGACCCCCAACTGGGATATGCCGAGCAGTCAAGGGCCGCTGACCGTTGGGGTATGCTACACCTGTCTCTTATACACATCTAGATGTGTATAAGAGACAGGGGTATGGGGGTGTTTGTGGGGTTATTAGGGGTTCCGGACTGATTTTTTTTTTTTTTTTTTTTAGCGGGGTGCCGACGACCCCCGACCGGTACGTGCCGACCAGTCAGGGGTCGCCGACGGTCGGCGTGTGCAACACTGTATGGAGATAGAGAAGAGAAGAAGAGCCAGAGCGGATCCGCCCATATCAAAATGGGGACCGGTGAATGATGCAATATTGCAGCTTTGAAATTCTTAGGCCAGATTTTCATTGGTCGATTGGAATGAAAAAAGAAAAGACGACGTTTACCGTGACATGGGCACACAGTGCGTCGTAATCAAATCACTTTTTTGATGTGCATTCAATCGTAGAAGGCACATAAGAAAGGAAGTACACCAAGGAACCACCCAATCAACACGGGTTCAACATGTCGACGCAATGAACGCGACTTGACCGACCTTCGTAATTTTCCAAGAGTACTTGCCACCTCGTTCAGACTGAACCACCCAATCAACACGGGTTCTACATGTCGACGCAATGAATGCGACTTGACAGACCTTTGTAATTTTCCAAGAGTACTTGCTACCTCGTTCAGACTATGCAATAGTGGCAATGGCATAGTACCCGTTTGGCATTACAAACAATAACAGCATCGATGACTCAGACTCAACATTGCAATTGAGCAAGTAGGCACTGAGATGAAACATCAAACTGTATAAGGATAGTAATGAAAACGACAAAAATAACATGCATGCCAAAGACAAACGACCACCACCATGTGCGATGAAAGATTTGAGGCTCGTGCATTAACAGGAGAAGAACAAACGAAACGCACAGAGGAGTTCACAGGGTGTTTCGTCCGTGTCAAAAAGCAGTGCTGTGAATGTGGCAATGATAGGGAGAGGGAACAGTAGCATGGGTACAGACCAAAAAAAAGAAGAGCAAATGACAAACTCGAACGTAATGCCTGAGAAACAAACAATGCACAGTACACACACACACGCACACACACACCTGTCTCTTATACACATCTAGATTGAACTCAAGTTACATCCATAATACACAAGAAGTCAGTGTGTGTTTCAGATGGCGGAAAAAAACACCGAATACAGAATGGAACCATTGCCCTTTAAGGGCGTGTGTGTGCGTGTGTGTGTGTTGGGGGTGGTGGTGGTGGGGGTGGGGGGGGGGGGGGCTGGGGGGGTCACCGAATACAGAATGGA